ATCCATGCGTAATGAGACATATTTCAATCGACGGAATATTGCCAAATGTGTACGTTATTTGTGTATGATTTCCATTAGATAAAATCACAGAAATGCTTAAAAATTACGATGTCTGCGTTTGTTTAATCTAACGTTCTCTCAAAATAATTATTTCGTTCATATACGATTGATAAAAAAATGACCAGTTTTTAAAATCCATTAAACTGTACAGACCTCTTGACAAGACAAATTTTTTTTTTAGTTTTGCCTCTGGTAAAACTTTGGAATATTTAGAAAGGGTCATTAATATAGTAACTTTTTTTTTTATTTACTCTCGTTCAACAAGAAAAATAATGTTATCAAAGCTTTTCTATGACGGAAAACTTTTTTTGAAAGAAAAAATTGGGTTTTTTTTTTTTCAAAATTCATTTATTTATGAAGTAGTTGGTTTCAATAAGAATTTTTTAAAAAAAAATTTTGCTATTAAAAAATATTTATTTCACCCACCAAGGTCAAGCAGGTTTGTTGCTAGAGCTTTTGAGGCCTCCCCTGCCACCTTTTGTTATCCCCCAACCCCGCCCCCCTAAACAAAAAAACAAAAAAACACCTTCATTTCAAAGTTGATTATTAAAAAAAGGACTACTCACAATTTTAAAGATTTAAAATATACGAGACCCCCTGTAGTTGTCAGAAAATGTCATCATAGCAAGTGCCAATCATATCAGATTGCCACCATAGCAGGTTGCCACCATATCAGTTTGACATCATTGTAGGTTGCCAGCATATAAGGTTGCAATATTACAGGTGCCACCATATCAGGTTGCCAACATAGCAGGCTACCATCAAAGCAGGTGCCACTATTGCAGGTTGCCGTCATCGCAGGTTGCTATCATAGCACGTGCCACCATATCAGGTTGCCACCATATCAGGTTGCCACCATAGCAGGTTGCCACCATTGCAAGTTGCCACCATATCAGGTTGCCATCATAGCAAGTGCCAATCATATCAGGTTGCCACCATAGCAGCTTGCCACCATAGCAAGTTGCCACCATAGCAGGTTGCCATCATAGCAAGTGCCAATCATATCAGATTGCCATCATGGCAGGTTTCCTTCATGGCAGGAGTCACCAGAAAGCAGGCTTTGGCTTCACTCGCCATCTGAATAAGGGACGGCAATATCGGTCCCTATTGTTTACTTAATATTTTTATTACAGCTAATTTGTTAAGCCTTGTTTTCTGTATGTGTTGCGGTGTTCGTTAATTATGGCCGGCGAAATCAAGGACCACCCCCGGGCGGCATAAACTCCGGCTACACCGCTGAATGGGGGAGTTAAATATTCACTGTAAGTGACGCTGGCAGAAGGTGTTTTGGTTTTTTCGACGCACAGATAAACAGCTCATTTTTTAAAAATAAAATTAATGATGCACTGTTGTAAGGTTTCCTTTTTAAAAGGGCGGGGTGGGGAGGGGGGGGGGAATGATTAATTTTCATGATCAAACATGATTAATCATGATTATACACGATTCAGCATGACTATACATGATAATACCGACAACAGAGTAAAATATTAATTTATTAACAAATTAAATTGAGCAAAGAAAAAGAAAACGTTTTTAACATTAAAGCATTGATTCCACCACCCCTTCCCTTTTTCTCCCCAAAGTGCCACCCTTGATATAACCCTTGAAAGGTGCGCAGAGTTTTTTTTTCGAAAACCATTGCATAGAACATTGGTCCCCAACACATTTTTTGCCGGGGACCGGTCAACGTTTGATAATTTTACCGCGGCCCGCTGAGTGGGGGGGGGAGGGGGTAAGGGGTTTGATTATTTATAGTTTAGATTTTTACTAGAGTGTTCTTCGCAAAAGTAAATTCGACCATGCTAAAACACGTCTGAGAGAGCTCATTGGCTGCCGGTCTACGCTCGCATAGAGTACAAAATGACAACTTTGTGCCACCGCTGCTTACATGACCTGGTCGTCTTATCTCAAAGCACTCATGACGCCTTATGTACTTTCGGAAAGCACACTTTTGCATTTGCCGGCCCAACAATTTGGAACGCCCTTCCAGTCGCTCTCATAAACAGCCAGACACTGTAGTCCTTTAAAAACGATTTTAAAACACATCTATCTCGCAAACACCTTCTGGGGTGATGCTATCTACCATCTTTTTTCAGTTAATGTATATATTTGCTTGTGTTGCTTATGGTTGAAACGGGATGAAAGACTTTGACTTGGTGTGCTCGTATGTAGTTTTATATTGTTGCGTCTGTTTTTTAAATTTGGTAAATTTTAGATTGTTTTTATTTCTCTTTTTAATATGGTTGACTTTGTACCGCGCTTCGAGCTTTTGGGGATGAAGCGTGTTTTTCAAATAAACTTTATTATTATTAGATGTAGCCCGCCAAACGTTGGCGACAACAATGCGTGAACTTCTCATCTACTAAAGTTACTTGACAAAAAAACGTGAACTCAAGTTATGCACATTTAAGAATGCCAATTTTGCTACACCCCTTCCCCCCCCCTCTTTTCATGATACTTCACGGCACACTTTTTAATTCACGCCGACCCGCAGCTTAGCATACGCCTCGAGCTTGGCTGGCAAGCAAGTGTGGTGCAGGAGGGGGGGCGGTAGCTCCACCTCAGTGCGCATGTCCCAAGACCAACGGTGGGCAGGCAAGGGAAGGGAGGGGAGGGTTTGCCTGCATCGTCTTCTGGCTCTGGCGTATCTATATATAGCCTGCGTGGTCTTGGTCGTCTTCCTGTTTGTCATATTTTTTCAGGTGAATTGTATATATAGATTTAATTTTATTTAAACATGTCTTTCAAATAAATTACAGTTACACCAAAAAACGAAAATAAAGTAAGTGATTTAACATTTTAACTCACTAGAACGCTAAATCAATAAGAACCATGAGCTTGTTTTTCTGCAACGAGACGGTTCCATCTGGGGCTAATAGGAGACTCACTGCAGAAAATACGGTTCATACAAGTAGAATGTCCGAAATGGCAATATGAATTTAAGTGCTGTGGTGGCAATGTCAGGTTATTCTGTCATGACTTCAATCCAGATCACCTGTATTTGCAATCTCCACCAATGGCGCTTCTTCTTGTAAAGACATGCTGGATTCGCCTGATTGGTTGACAAAAGGCTCGCTGCATCATCCCTTACAAGTTTTTAGGTCTTAAGTGGTTGGGAAGTAGCGCTCAAAATCTTTTAAAGGCAAAGACAGGTGATCGTGCACCAACTGAGAGAATGAATGCTCAGTATGGCTTAAAGTCCCCTCTGTTTGAAACGTGCCCAAAATGCCTCTGTTGACGCGCGGTCCCCACAACACCAGTTTGGCTTTAATGCAACAGCTGAAAACAGTTATCATTACCCCCTGAAGGGACTGATTCAGTTCATTGAGCAGGCTGATCATGTCACATATGTAAGTCAGTTTTGCTTAACATTCCTCGTCACTGAAATGTGCTGCCGGGGACCACTGGCATAGAAGTCTTGCAGAAGTAAAAATAAAAAATAAAAAATAAGCTTTTGTTGTGTCATACTTAAGTCCAGATCCATGAATCCAAAAAGTCATAATTTCTTTGCTGGCTATTTCTTGTTTGAAAAGTCGCAACGTTCTTTTCAAACCACCGATGGCTTCACGCTTCACTGCCATCTCCTTTTCCAAGAGCGTATCCCCATTTTGCCCAGGAGATATTGGTTTTCCCCGGGGGGGACCAATAATAAGGCCATGTATTTTAAATCACCTCAAATCGGCTTCCCAATGATCTCATGCGCATGCAGGTTTCATGCGGGCTAATTAAATTGCCGCACAATCCCTTCGTACGTTACAAGGGTTATTAATAACACTATAAAGGTCACTCGTCTTATTAATTGTTCAAACAAGATGAAATGATGTCTAGTAAAAAAATAATTGTGTTTGTGTTTTATTTTATACCTGCAAAAAAGATATGTTATTTTAGGGTAAAGGGATTCATTTAATGAACAACAAAAGAAAATATAAGGGGAAAACATAAGAGGAAAAATAACTCTTTGAATAGGAAGATGTCCCTCTCAATTTTAAAGTGGTTGATTATAATGCGGGTGACTGCTATGTGGGTGATTATAATTTGGGGGGCTTCAAATGTCGGTGATTATAGCGTTGGGTTTCCAATATTATTGGTTGATTTTTATGTGGGAGATTATAATGTAGAAGGAATTATACTTTGGAGTTTCTAATATCAGTGATTATAATGTGGATGACTATAATGTAGGTGATTATGATTTTGGTTTCCAATGTGTGTGATTATAAAATGGGTGATAATATTGCTGTTGATTATAATGTTGATGATTATTACGTGGTTGAATAAGTGTGACGGATTATAATGTTAGGGATTATTGTGGGGATTTTAATATGTATGCTTATGTGAGGGATTATAATATGGGCTGGATTTTAATGTGAGCGATTATAATTTGGGAACTTATTATGCTGGTGATTATATTATAGGAGTTGTAATATGGATTATTAAACCCGGATGGTTATAATGCTTGCAATTTAACGCAGAGGATTATGGTATGGGTGATTACAAGGTGAAGAGTATAACGTAAATGTTATACATTAAATGATGGCATCAATTTTTTTTAAAATTAAAAATACATAGTTTTAGCATAAGTTTGAATTGTAATCGACTCCTTGTATTTTGAGCCAGATAAAATTAAAATTATTACATGAGGATTATTGCATATGTATACATTTATTATTTTTCAATAAGGGTATCAAAATGTAATGTTTCGTTAAAAGGAGGACACTTTTAATTCATATGTGTGTCATTACTGTAAACACGCCCTTGCCCCAATCAGCCACGTACTCTAGTCTAAACACACAAGTGTAAATTCTTGGAAAAGGATTTTTTACATTAATGTTGCTAACGCGCCAGGCGTTGCTCCGAATCGGGGAAACTGAAAATGAAACAAGGTCACGCGGAAGGACAGCTGACGTGGCACCGCCTTGCAAAATAAAACCGCTCCATGTCCAGCGTTTAATCACCTGCAACATCACACAGATCCGATCTTTCAAAGAAGGTGCAACTATTTCATTCGGTAACGTGCCAATCTTTCTTGTGCAATGTTTGTTTCCGTTGTTATTCTGTTAAAGGCTCAGTTGAAATACATTCCGTGGCATTATTAGATCATAACGTTACTGTTTTCACGGTAGCTGTTAAAAATACTGCTAAAAATAATAATTTATTTTAAAGATATATCAATAGTTCCTTTAAATACACACTTTCAACGTATTTTATGTATGCTTGTACTTTGATATTTGTGTTTACTTTTTTTTAAAAAATTCATGTTTAACTGATATATCCCATTCTATTTACCAAAACCCAGCGGTTACCAAACATTATCGATTTACAGTGCCCCTGCGGCATCCAGGTTTTCACCAAGCGCGTGGTCCAATTCTACAAATTGTTTTTTGTTGTTTTTTTTTTTCGTTTATCTTTTGCTATGTATCTGTGAAGAAACAATGATTTCTATTGTAAAGAGTTGTGCTTCATATAACAATCTGGTGCATGGTGTTTTTTCTACTGCTTTCAGTTTATTGTTTTATTGTTTTTCGTCCTTCGCAATTTTTCGTCCCGGAGTAGCAGCCTTGACTTGGGCTGAATTGTGTTTAAAATTAGGGAGATTTGCGTTTTTTCGTCAGCATCACTCTCTCGTCCTTGCCAAATGATCAAATGGCAAGACTTAGTCAGTTATTTTCTGGCTATTGCAAAAGACGATGTTTTTACCTTTTTTAAAAATAAATTAGGTTATTTTCCCTTTTAAACGGCTGTAACAATCATTGTAATTTTTTTCTAAATTTTCTTTTAAAACAGATTTGCAATATGGCAAGAATTTGGTGCTGTGTTCTCATCTTCCTGCTGCTGTCACCCCCTGCCACTAATGCCTGGCTCACTGAGGCGGTATGTGCTGTAGTGGGGGGCGTTGCAACCGTCGCATTGGCTCCAATAGTTTTACCGGCTGTCGGCTTTACATCAGGTACGTTGCAGAATATTTTCAACAATGTTCACATGTTTTCTAAAACTGGGGGCTGAAATTTTGAAAGAACGTTTTGTCATCGCCAGTGTCACAATGTGTTGATTTCCAGCTTGATAGGTCAACGGGAAGTGGATCCATTAGCAGTCCGAACGTTCTATCCTAAACAAGCAAAATTGAAGTTAATGTAAAGGATCTAAAAAGTACGACGTTTGTACTGACACGCTAAATGTGGCAAAACATAAATTCCGTACACTCGTTCGGAACAATCAGCTGCTTTAAACATTTGAGCAAAGGTTTCTTTAGTTGTGTCTTTGCCTGTGGATCAAACAACACGATCATGCACAAACTGGACGTACAATGAAAGCCTGTTGTGTAAATTTAACATTTGGAACGCAGCGTTTGGAATACTAAAGCATCCGTTTTATCTCAACCGCACGAAGCGACAGTTTGACAAAAGTTGGAAAGTGAAATTAATCAGGATGCATTAGTAAATATTTTTTTTTTTGTATTTATAATTTTAAAAAACGTGCACATAAGTGTATGAGACAATTGATAGCATTAATATAAAATGGCCTTTTTTTGTAAAGCGATTGTGGGTAAATCGAAAGTTCGTCAATTGAGAACCGCCTGTTACTCAACGATTTGTGAAATGTACGCAAAACATAAAAATTCCATAAATTCTGTGAGCTAAAACAATATATTTTAAAAATCTGTAACTTTTCTTTCCTTCCAAAATAAACAAAGTGTTTTTTTGTTGTTTTTTTTTTTAAATTTTATTTTAATTCTTACTATTGCAGCTGGTATTGCCGCTGGGTCTCTTGCCGCTACGGCGATGTCGACAGCATGGTCAACTGGCGTCGGAGTGGGACTGGTGGCAGCTGCCCAGTCCGCTGGTGCTGTTGGTGCCGTGGGACTAGTAGGGACTGTTGCTGGTGGTGCAGTAGGTGCAGGCGTCGGGCATGTCATCGCAAACGCGAGGTCAAAGAAAGAGTGCGGTTGTGAGAATGACTGCAACTGTGAATAGTGAAGTGGTTGTCTTGGAAAACTCTGGTAATTACTAGCGTCTTGTGCTTCCAGAAGGAAATAATATGATGTACACATCATGATATTCACTTAAAAGATCAACAGATTCTACTCCACACACTAATCCCGCTGAACAAAATTTTAGATAGTAAACAAACAGAAAAAGATCATTTCTGCAAATCTGTTGATGGATGTATTACTGATAAGGCCATTTCTTTTTACATTGATTTATACATTTTAAAATGTTTCCGTGCAATCTTGTATAGCAATACATGAAAGATAACGGACTGGCATCCCCCCCCCCAACAACCAAAAATAAGATTAAAAAAAAATAATTGCTAAGAGACCACTTTCTTACACACACACACACACACACACAAACACACACACACACACATTCACGAGCACACACACGCACGCACGCACACAATAAAATAAAATTTAAAATTTATCACACTTAGTTAGCGTACATGAGCCAAACTTTGTTAACATTAAGATAAATTTTATTGTTGATTGTTTTGCTATTTTTTCGACTATCCGTGTATTTTCAGTCAATGAAAGTCTTTGTAGTTGAGAAATTGCGGAACCTTAACAATTAAACATTTTAATTAAATGTCAATAAAAGTTGGCCATATCATTTCCATATCTCTCAGAAGCGTAGGGCAAAGTTCAATGACTGGAGTTTTTGAAGGCAACCGAGAGCGGATTTTTTTCTTCTTTTTTTGTGCTTTTTTGTTGTTATTGTTTTGTTGCATAAATATTCACTTTTGTATGCTTTTTCTTCTTAAATTTTTTTGCCTCGTTTCTTCTTTTAAAAAATTAATATAATTGTCATAATCCCCCATGTGTATTTTGTTAAATCCATTTTCGATTATCCTTATAAAAGTTATAGCTTTATTATTTCTGTCATTGAATCATCATTTTTTTTACAGGTTTATATTGTCATCCAATTCAAAAACCTTTTTTGTAAATTTTATTCATAGATGCTTGATTTCTGATTTAAAAAGGATGGAATATTACCACAGCACGTCTATGAAATTAAAAGATATTGCTGAAACCATTTTCATGTTGCATTTTTTTCGAATAATTAAATAGTAACGCTAAAATTTTTAAATCCATTCAAACCGTTGCCTAAAGGTCTCATGTGGATGTATGTTTTATGTGGTCTATTTTAAGCACACAATACCTTTATAGTCAGTAGGTTTTATTAATAACAATATAAATATTTACTTGTCTTATTTGTTTTCAAATAAATTTTCTACTACTAATTACAAATGTTTGTATTTATTTTAAACAGTATAAAAAGGTATGATAGTTTAAAGGAGGGATGCATTTCATGGAAAACAAAGTGAAATCTGGAAAAGATGAAAAATAGCTATTTGTATAGGACGATATTGTGTGGCATTATAATGTGGAGAATAATAATGTGGGTGATTTTTAAATGGTTGAAAATAACGAGGGTGATTATAATTTGGGGATTATATGTGTGGGATTATTATGTGGGTACATATAATATTGTGTTTTATAACGGTGAGTGATTATCAATTTTTGCATCTGCATAACATAAATATTAAGTACAGGGTCAGTTTTTAAGTGCAGTCTTTGAAAAAATAATCTTAATAAAAAATGCTATATAAACTATATACCACCTCTTTGTTGTATATTATCTATGTTTTCTTTATAAGATTGAGAACAACTCGTTAGAAAATACAAAATATTACAATCATACTTTAAGAGCCATATTACCCACGAAGAATACTAATTAAAATACAATTATAACAAACGTTACTATCATACTTTGAGAACAACTCATTATAAAATTTTTAAAAATACTATTAAAATATAACAAACAGTCCCCCCCCCACCCACATAATGAGAACCACTCTATAAACTCATTTTAACTAATTAAAACAAGACGCTCAATTATAAGTACACAACAACATGAAAGAAATTAATCAAAAAGTAATTATCACCCCTTATTTACATCCGCCAACCTCCGCCCCCCTCGCCTGGCGGAGACGCGCCCTTTACGCGAAAAAGGAAATTGAAAATTCAATGTAAGTAATTTTACCTCATTAAAACAACAAGACGATTAATTACAAAATTAAAATCATGGTAGAAAAACACGAAAATATTTATTAAATCAAATCAAAAAGCAATCAAGTAATTATCATCCTTTAATTAACCCGCCAGTTACCCACCAGAAACCCGCCATGACCCACCAAAACCCGCCATAACCCACCAAAATGCCATATCATTCCTACTTATATACTAATCAAAGGCTAGACTAAACTAGGACACAAAAGGCATACCCCTTAGGGTGCCACAAATGGAACGAATTTAGTTCATGTTGGACTGTGGTGGAGCTAGAGATATCCCTGCTAATTGGTATCTATATTTTGGCGATTTCCATCTGAACTTTTACAAATGCTCCTTCACATAATATCTGTTAGCAATGTCTGAAATGCGGAAAAAAATGTATCCTTGCATTTTGAAAAGATACAACAAGTTAAAAGAGGAACTCTGCCCCCCCCCCTGCATTTGTCGAGAGTCTTCGCCATCGTAATAATCTTCTCCCCCCTTCCCCCCCGAAGGGGCGCAAAACAAGCCGAGTTAAATCATTTTATTTATGGCACCGTGTGCCATAATGCCTTGAAAGAAAGCTTCAAAAATACCTTCCAGCGAGCGAATAGTTTAAATCTGAAATCTCTAAACCCCCCCCCCTTTGAGGCGATAGTCTGAATGACACACTGATGGTAACAAATTGAATTGGAGCAAGTGGCATAAAGTTAGTGAACGTATGTTGTGAACTAGAGTGTTGTGGAAGTTTGGGTGAGTGGGTGGGTTGTTGATCGTAAGATTGTTTTTGTGAGTTGTAAGTTGTGTGGTCAGAGCGTGAAGTTGGTTCGTGGTGTCAAGTTTTAGTGCATGCTGAGTGTTTTGTTGGGATATAGAAATGCAGTGTGACATTGTGTTCATTGGATCGTTAGTCGAGAGATCAATACAAGATTGTCGAGAGTTAGAATAGAGTCGAGAGAGTGTGTATAGCAATCTAGAGTTACAGGCAGAGCTTGACAGAGAGAGGATAATAATTTTCTGCTGGATGAATTATATAACAACTGCATTGTGTAACAAGTGGATATTTTATTAGGACATGGAAATAAATAAATATATTTTAATGAATTATTCAGGGTTTGAGTTACTTGAGCAAGAGAGAGAGACGAGAATAAACCAAACAGGTCTGACATAAGGTTAGACATCAAATAGTCGCCATCGGAGATATTAGACCAACGAATGAAGGCCGTAAAAACCAATACATTGTAAATTATTAATACGTCTATCTTAGTCTGGTAATTTACAATGTTTGCAAAACTATAACTGAAGTGAACAAGATTGTATGTACTAAATTGTGAGCACTATAGATGGAGTTGGGAAAGAGGACAGAAGGAGAAATTGTGGTATTAAAGTGTACGAAGAAAGAGGTCTGAAGGAGAGGGAGTGGGTAAATAATTTACATTCAACACTCACTGTCTCTTAACTAATATTTCACAATCTCTCAATGAAACTATATCTCTTAATTACTATGACTTCATCTCTATCAACTACAAACACTATTTCTCTTAGTAAACATGTAACTATCTCAATCAATGTGTCCCTATCTCTCTCAATCAATATTTCATTATCTCTCTCAATCATTATGTCATTATCACTCACACTTAATATGTCGTAATCTCTCTCAATCAACGAGTCACTATATATCTCAATCAGTAACATACCATCGCTATTAGACACTAGACACTATCAATCGCTGACTGTCCCAATCACTGTGTCAGCATCTCTCTCAATCGCTGAGCTACTATATCTCTTAATTAATTTCACTATCTTTCGCTCAGTCGCCATGTCTTTATCTCAAACAACTACTAATACTATCTCTCTCACGGTTTCACAATGTCTCTTTCTCTCTTTCAATCGTTTTGCAATAGCTCTCTCAGTATATCCCTATCTCTCTTTCAATCAATATATCCCTATTTTTCTCAATCAATATGTCAATATATCTCTTTTAATCAATATATCTCTATCTCTTTTTCAATCAATATATCCATATACATGTAGCGTAAGATGCTTCCAGAAAAGAATTACGGCGTGTTGTTTACATTTCTCGGGTTATCGAGAAGATTCGACAAGATACCAGGAGACATACTACACAATGTGTAATTGGCAGTGGTTGTAAACAAGATACATCAAAGAGAATTTAAACCACGCCCACAACAAACGCTACCGTCTGCTAGAGATCTAATTTAGGTCAAGCAAAGTTCACACACTGGAAATGTGTGCTACATAACAGCCTATCTCTCTATTATAATCAATATATCACTATCTTTGCTTCAATCGAGATATCTATATCCTTCTTTCAATCAATATATCCCTATCTCTCTCACTCAATATACCCCTATCTCTCTCCCTCAATATATCCCTTTCTCTCTCTCTCTCTCTCTCTCGATATATCACTATCAGTCTCAATCACTTTATCACTATCAATCTCATTTTTACCTCTCTTTAAATGTGGTGTATTATTATTGTTTTATCAATCTCTTTGTCCATCTTCCTCGCATTCTCTCCCTCTCTCTCTATCTATCTATCTCTCTCTCTCTCTCTCTCTCTCTCTTTCTTGCTTTCTTGGCCATTATCTAAACATAATACTTGTGAGTACCAGCCAGTCACATACCTCCTGTGATGTATTTCTGAAATTGAAACTATACTTAAAGTTTTCCTTAAATCATATCGAGTTAATCCCATGTCTACTGCACAAACACACATACACACACACACACACACACATATATATATATACATATATATAATATATATATATATATATTTATACATTTATAATGCATAGAATATATTAATTTTTTAAAGATAAATTTTTAAGACTAATGTCTAATCTTCTTTTATCATTTATTTTTTCGTTCATTACCTTGTGTTGACTAGTAGTCTTCAATACCTAGAAATGTGTTGGCTAGTAGTCTTGAATACCTTGTGATGTCGTGTTGACTAGAAGTCTTAAATACCTTGTAATGTCGTGTTGACTGGTAGTCTTCAATAATTTGTAATGTCGTTTGACTAGTAGCCTTCAATGCCTTGTAATGTCATTTGACTAGTAGCCTTCAATAACTTGTGATGTCGTGTTGACTAGTAGCATTTAATACCTTGTAATGTCGTGTGACTAGTAGCCCTCAATACCTTGTAATTTCGTGTTGACTGGTAGTCTTCAATAATTTGTAATATCATGTTGACTAGAAGTCTTCAATACCTTCTAATGTGGTGTTGACTAGTATTTTAAAATAAAAATACCTGAATTAGACGTGTTACCTTAGATCCCTACATGTAATGTAGTGTTAAGTTTATTCAGTAACAATATTCTTCATATTTTATCTTTTTTTAAAATTTTAATTTTAAGAATTTAAATTTTAATTAATAATTGTGGACAATTTATGTTAGCTGTTTGTAGCAATATATAATATAAAAATGATGTTAATTTTTTGAAAAATTCTTTTGTCATTAGCGATTTCTTGAACTGAATTTTTAAGCGAAAAAAAGTATATAGTTCTTATTTCTTTAACTTCTTAACATATAATTTTTTTTTATAAAATAGTGTGCACTATTTTTTTTAAAGTGCTATTTAATTTTTTCCCCTCGAACATGGGATGGCACATTTTTTCGACTGAAGAGCAAGAGATTTCCGCCCACTGTCTCATTATGAAACTAAAAATACGTTTTTTTCGAGATTAGTTCTTTCAAAGCAAAGCTTAGATTAAACAATTATGCTTAATGGCTATCATTTATATAAAATGTAGGTGCACATATAGACTAAAATTTATGATTTAGCGCCTACCCATAACCCTCCCTTGACACCTCTCTTGAACCCTCCCTCGACCCCTTCGTCAACCCCCGCCTCGAACTTTCTTTCGACCCTTCCCTCAACCCCTCCCTCGATCCCTCTATTGACCTACGAAACCCTCCCTCAACCTCTCTCTCTCTCGACCCCTTCACCCCTCTTTCGAACCCTCTCTTTGACTCTTCTTTTGACCTCTCCGTCGACCTTTTTTCGACCCCTCACTCAACCTCTCATTCGACACCTCCCTCGACCTTCTCCCAAAAACAAGCAAAACGGGAGATTGGCCTATCCTCGAATAGTTCTGTTGTGTGCAAGATTTCAACGTTAACTTTGAATTCTATCCAAGCAAAACAAGGGCCTACTGTATTGCTTATAGTATATTTCTATGGATTAATTGATCGCTCTA